CCCCCCCACCCCCTGCTCTGGGACAGAAGAGCCTGCCCCCTCAATCTGCACCTGCATTTGATATGCTGACAGGAGAAGGAAAGGAAGAACGTCAGAGACAGAAGGGATAAGAATGTTTACTGCTCACACACACCTGCAAACATGCATGAGCCAAATCAGGCCCTGAAATTAGCTGTTTGCAGTGGATTTTTCTATCTATGGATTTTCAAGCCCCTTTTGGTTTCCTACCTAAATTTGCTTGCTTTATAATATTGTTTTATGTTTAAGAACTCTTCTTCAAAATGTTCGTTCTAATATACCTGTTTAATCCCTATTTAGAGACCCTGTAAGTCCCTGCTCCAAACTTGTAAGACATTTTACTGAACTAACCATATCTATTACATTAAACAGAAATAAATTATATAGTACTCAGGAGGAAAAACAAATGAAAACAAGCAGAATAAAACCCTCAAGGAAACCAAAACTCAGACGGAAAATTTAAGTTAGGAATTTTCCAAATGTGCTGTATGTAGTAATAAACAAGTTATGTTACAGCAAAATTGTACAACTCTGAAAGAAGTACTAGAATGTGATCCAAGGCACATCAGAATTGTTTCACATCTCCAGACCAGGACAGGACTCGTCACCTGGCTGGTCCCAAAAATACCGTCTGCCAACCACACACCTGGCTGATAACACTCTGTTGACACTGATTGTTGGCTTCTCTAACCCATGAGTTAACTGGACAAAACATGACAGAACAGGGAGCATTTGCAAATTAGTTTACATTTTGAAATTTAAATATTTGAACCCAGAGCTGGAGAGTGACTACCAAGTGCTGGTGGTAGAGGGCGGCCTGCCTGCGAGCGGCGTGGTGTAACCTGCGGAGAGAGGACCGCTCAGGAGGAACTGTCGTGGCAGGACCGACACCTGGCTGGTCAGACTTTCAGTCTCATGAAGATGTGGCTTCTTACGAACGTGGATTTTATGCTCACCTAAACCCTTCTGCCCGGGGTTCTTAGCGAAGGTAAAGGTAAACTGATAAAAATCCTTAAACTTCACCGTGTCCTTCAGCTCCTGCTCTAGTCTCGGCAGAAGGGCTCTCAGCTTCTCCGTGCTGTCACACCTGCAATGAGAGACAGCGCTGTGGTGGTGGGAGACACGCCTCCCCGCCCGCCCGGCAGCTCCCTGACATTTGGGTGATGCTCGGGTCCCGGGAGGCGGACTGCCTATGGGCCCCCTGCCCTGGCTAAAAGGACTGACGCCCCAGAGTCCCAGAACTGATTGTGGTGATGGCTGCACGGCTCTGCGAAGACACCAAAACCACCGACCTGTAGACTTTAAGTGGGCGAACTCTACAGTACATGAATTATATCTTAATAAAAAAAAGGAAAAAACAAAACCCACAGTTGCTTGACTTCCTCTGTATGAGCTGGAATAGACACACCTTCACCCACACAAAGGCCACGGCCCTGGGATGACAGTCGGGCAAGTCAGAAAGACCCCACCTCCTCAGCCACCTCGTGAAGCCGAACCACTCTGCCAGCTCCCTATCTTGGGGTCTCTTCCTACGGAAGAGTTAAGGCTAGAGTTAAAAAACCCAAGTATGATAAAACACAACTCCACTGCTTTATAATTGGGTTTTCTGGATGGGGGAGGGGGGACACAGGTGGGGATTAAGTGCACTTATCAGGATGAGCACTGAGTCCTGTACAGAATTGTTGAATCACTATGTGGTTCACCCGAAACTAATATAACAATATGTTAATTATACGGGAGTTTTCAAAAATAAATAAATTTAAAGTAAATAAATAAATAATAAAATTGGATTTTCCTCCAAAAAGTCAACAACCTTTAAGAATATTAAAAAGCCTTGGGACCCCTGGGTGGCTCAGTTGGTTAAGCGTCTGCCTTTGGCTCAGGTCATGATCCCAGGGTCCTGGGATCAATTCCCACATCTGGCTCCCTGCTCAGCAGGAAGTCTGCTTCCCCCTCTCCCTCTGCCCCTCCCCCTGCTTGTGCTTCCTCTCTCTCTAATAATTAGATAAAATCTTCAAAAAAAATTAAAAAAAGAGTATTAAACTCCTTTAAAGCAGAAATCTAGAATAGCAAAACATAAAATCTTTTTTATTTCGACTATCCAGCAAGGAAAAGAATACCAGGCACGCTTCACGGATGTGCACCCCATCAGCAGGGCTTTGGAGAGAGCAGAACACCGTGCATCAGCGGCCACAAGCCCAGGAGGCACGGGCCTACAGCTCCAGGGACCCACACCGAGGGTGGTCGGGGGCTGCGCCTTCCCCACCACTGGCCTTCCCTCTATCGGGCCACTGTGGGCCTTCCTGTGTGCCTGCATCACCCCCCAACCAGCACTCCCTGACAGTCAGCTACCTCGACTCTGGACTTTCTTCATGGGAACTCACGGTATTATTTCCGGGTCGAGTCTGCGAGGTTCACTATGCTGACTCAGTGGAGTCATTTTCTGTGTCAAGGTGCATTCCCCTGTGTTCATACTTCCTAACTTATATATCCCACCGATGGTAACTATTCTGGCTGTTTCTAGTTCTCTGGTAACAAAGAAAGTTGTTAAAAAGGTTTCCATACATGTCTCCCGTAAATGTGCTAGGTTAGGCCAAGCCCGAGTGGGCCAGCTGGGTCACAGGGTCCATGAACCTTCAGTGATGTGATATCAAACCGTTTTCCAAAGAGACTGCTTCACACCACCCCCAGCAGGAGAGCAGGGTTCCTTTCGCTCCCATTTCCACTGATCCACGCGACTGTGTCTTACCTTAGCCATTTCAGAGACAGTTCACTGTAACTTTAACCTGTACTTCCCCGTGAACAAGATTGAACTTGTGTTTTGGACTGGCTGTTTGGAAATTCTCTTTTGTGAAGTGCCTGTTCAAGTCTCCTGCCTGGTTTCAATTAGGTATCTTTTTCTTATTGTTTTCAGGCTTTCTTTACATATGAAGGACACAAGCCTTTGTCAGCTAAGCATTTTTAAAGTACTCTCACCCAGAATGTGGACTGCCTTTTCACTCCCTTGGGGGGTGTTTCTTGATGATCAGTCCTCATTTTTAGTGTAATATCCTCTGTCTTCCTCACAGTGTTTGCTTGTGTTCCGATTTTCCCTACTGCACAGTCGTGAAGATACCCTCCTACGTGATTTTCCCAGGGGCTTCTGGCTCTTGCCTTTAGGCTTTCACACGGACATCTACAATCCACTGGGAACTGATTTTTTATGTATGGTGTGGGGTAGGGATCAAGGTAAGTTTGTGACTAGCCAATGCTCACAGAACCATTTATTATTTTTATTTTTTTAAAGATTTTATTTATTTATTCATGAGAGACAGGGGGGAGAGAGAGAGAGAGAGAGAGAGAGAAGAAGGAAAAGCAGGCTCCCAAGGAGCAGGGAGCCCGCTGCGGGACTGGATCCCAGGACCCTGGGATCAAGACCCGAGCCGAAGGCAGACGCTCAACCATCTGAGCCACCCAGGCGCCCCCAGAACCTTTATTGAGAAGATGCCTTTCCTCACTCCTCTGAGGCGCTGCATTGGCCATAAGTCAAATGTGCGCACGTACGTGGATTTGTTTCTTGCTCCCCATTCCGTTCCACTGGTCTATTTATCTCCGTAGTAGTGCCATGTAGTCTTAATTACTGCAGCTTGAAAAGTCCTAATTAGCTGGAGGAGCAAATCTTCCCACCTTGTTAAGAACTGCTGACTATTCTTGACTGGATTTGCATACACATTTTAACTCCATTTGTCAAATTACACATATAAAACTACTACTTATTGGGGTTTTGATTGATATCACACCAAGTTCATAGACAAAGTTAGGGATTAAATACTGACAGTTCCAATCTATGAATGAGGTTTATGTCTCTATTTATTCAGGTTTCCTGCCTCTCAATGAGTTATTTACTCTATGGAGGTAGCACACATCTTTAATTAGATTTATCCTAGGTGTTTTGTATTTTTCATGCTACTGAAAATGGCATATTTTTAAAATTCACTTTGCTTTGTTGTATTGTTGCATTCAGTATTCTATAATAAGATTGATTTTGGTTTGCTGATCTTCGGTCCTGCAGTCTGGCTAACCTCACGTATTGATTCAAATATTTTACCTGTGGATCAGACCAGCTAACACCTCCTGTTCAATGCTGAATAAAAGTAGGCATTCATGTTCCAATTAAGTATATATCCTGTAGGATTTGGCAGGAAAGGGGGGGCGGTCAGCTTAAGGACTATCCCTGTATTCCTGGTTTGTGCTAAATTCTCTTTCAAAAAATTATGAGTGGAATTGAGTTTTAGCTCAAACCCATTTTATGGGTTTGAGATAATCCCCCCCTTTTCTGTTGTTAATAAATTACATTGATTGACTTTGTAATGCTAAACAAATCTCACAATCCTGGGCTATAACAAACTGTGTCATGATAAATTATCTTATTTTTTGGTTGATTTGTCTTGGGGGCTGGATTTAGTTTTTTGATAATGTGTCTCAAGTTTTTGCATCTTATGCATCTTTTGAATCTCATGGCTGTAAGTGGCCAATAATTTTCCATTCTCAAAATATCCTTTTGTGCTTGCTTCAGCAGCACATTTACTAAAATATCCTTCCTAAGTTTTGTTATCCAGGTTGTGTTGGCCTCAAAACAAATTAGAAAGTGTTTCTTCCTGTATGATTCTCTAAGAGGTTGTGTAAAGTTGGTGGTATTCTCTTCATTAAATGTTCTGTAGGATGTGCTGGTGCACCAATCCTGGCCAATTGTTTTCTTTTTGAAAAGATTTTAAATTATGGGTTCAAATTTAAGAGTTACAGAACTATTTATGTGTCCATTTCAGTAAATTGTATTTTTAAGAGAATTCCTCTCTTGCATCCAGGTTTTCACATTTACTAGCATAGAGTTGTTGGTAATATATTCTTATCTTTTAACATCTATAGGATCTACAGTGATGTCTCCCTTTTCATTCCATATTGGTTATTTGTTACTTATTACTTTTGTAAATCTTTTCAAACAGAAAGCTTCTGGCATTGTGGATTTTTTCTATTAACTTCAGTTCTATTTCCTTAAATTACTTCCTGTTTAAAAAAATTAATTCCTGGGGTGCCTGGGTGGCTCAGTGGTTAAGCATCTGCCTTCGGCTCAGGTCATGACCCCAGGGTCCTGGGATCAAGCCCCACATTGGGCTCCCTGCTTGGCGGGAAGCCTGCTTCTCCCTCTCCCGCTCCCCCTGCTTGTGTTCCCTCTCTCGCTCTGTCAAATAAAAAAATAAAATCTTTAAAAAAAATTTAATTCCTTTTCTCTACACTCTTTGAGTTTAATCTCCTGCTCTTTTTCTACTTCGTGAGATGGATGCTCTCCTTACTGATTTTCAACTCTTCCTTCTAAAATACGCATTTAAGAAGTTGAATCCTGCAAGTTTTCATGGGTAGTGTTTTCTTCATGATTCAAAATATTTTCTAATTTCCACTGTAACTTCTTCTTACTTCCAAGGGTTTTCAGGCGTACACAATATTTACACATATTTCAACCTATCAAGTTATCTTTTTGTTCTACCTTAATTGTATTGTGGTCAGAAAATATACTGTGTATCATTTCAATCCTTTGAAATTTGTTGCAACTTATTTTATGGTGCAGTTTATAGTCGGTATTTATAAATGGTCTACTCTTCTGAAAAAAATATGTATTCTTCAACATCAAAGCAATGTTCTAAGTACGTCCATTAGGCCATTTGTTATGCTGTCCAAATCTATTTCCCTACTGATTTTTCACCTACTCATTCTATCAGTTGCTAAGATGTGTGTGAGAATTCCCCACTTTGATTGCAGATTTGTATCTTTCTTGTGTAGTGTTTATTTTTGCCTTAAATAATCAATTGCCTTCCATGTGAAATAAACCCTTCCTCATTATGAAATGTCCTTCATTATCTCTAGAATTACTTTTTGCCTTAAAGCTTGTTTTAATATTGACATAGCCACACCAAATTTCTTTGGTTAAATGTTTGCCAATTACATCAACTTTTATCCTTCAAATTGTTCTGTGCCCTTATGTTTTAATCGTATCTATTGTAAACAGTATACACAATAGTTGATTTTCTAAAATCCATCAAATATTCAGTTTACTTACATTTAATGTAATTATGTAAATGCTGACACATTGGTTTTCAATCCTCTATTTTATCATTGCTTGCTATTTGTCCTGCGTTAAGCTAATTTTCCTTATGTTCTTTTTCTCTCACATTCTTTTAGATTGAATTTATTACTTTATTCCTGCTCCATTATTTAGGAATTATATGTAAATCACACATCCTCTACTACTTTTATCACGATTGTAACATACACACAGAAAGCAAGTATTTTCTCCCACTGTTCTGTCTTTAGTTAAGCAGAGCTCTTAACTGTGATGAAGTCAAATTTATTAATTTTTTCTGTTATGGCTAGTGCTTTTTATTCCTTAATCTGGGTTTTAATAAAGATATTCTCCCATGTTTTGTCGAGAACTTTAGAGTTTTCACTTTCTTGTACGGGTGTGTAATCCAGCCCACATCCATCTCTAGCTGTGGCCCATGCTGACGCAGGGACCAAGGTGATGTGTTCTTAGGCTCACCGATTATTTCAGTGTCAGCTGCTGAAAAGACTCTTCTCTCCCCACTGAAATAATAAAAATTGATGAAAAATCTTCAGATGAAAAGTAGGAAGACTTTACTACTTCATTTCAAGACTCACCTAACGCTACAATAATGAAGTCTGCATGCTGCAGGGCTAAGGATAAACAGACCCACCAACTACAACAGAGTCTAGAAACAGATCCACAATATGGCCAATTTTTTGTTTTTACAAAGATGTCAAGGAATTTCATAACGTTTATTCAGTTCACTTACGAATCCACAAACCCCCAAAGAAAGGACGTAGGATTAACTGTTAAAGGTAGGTATTCCAACCACTGTCAGGGGTTAATAGCCAGGAAAAAGTGTGAAAAATAATAGAGCTGACACAAAACCCAAAGTATTTTTTAAAGCTTAGTGCTGTTTGGACTACAACAGTCTTTTATATCCCTAAAAGCACTGAGGTTATCTCTACAATATAGTTTACTGTCACACTGATGATACTTAGTATACAGTACTTTAATATTTACAAAGTGCTTTCCCTTTTAACTGCCCTGTGAGATGTGAAGAGCTGCACCATTAAGTAGCACTAAGTTATAATCTTAAACTACATATAAGGAGGCATGAATTTATCTAACACATTTTGGGAAGATTCACACTCAAAATCTTAAAAATACATGTTTTAAATTATAACACTCATTAGGATGACAGGAATTTTTTAAAATTTACCCTACAACATATTTCTATATAATGCCTAAGAAATGCAAGTGTTTCCATAAGAAGCACTTATTTCCAAAATCTCCCATTTGGGGAAGGTTCTAGCAGATGGGGTAAAGTGTAGTACAATGCCAGGAGGATATTCTGTAATAGGTGTCTTCCATTCTAAAATTCCCTGTAGTTCACCTTGGCTTTCCTGAGCGCACAGAACATGAAACAATGTGCTGTCACACCATTGTCGCAGTGATGTCTTTTGTTTGGTTTTATACAACCAGCAGCAGTAGGGTAAGTCTTGTAGAGTTTATCATCTAAACACACAAGGCTGTTATATATAACAGATTCATCCATTTAGTGGAAAAACCATTCTATTTTTCCCCCTGGGAAGCTGTAAGTCCATGCCTTAAGAACATGTTTACCTTAGACTTTTAAGCTCCTTCAGCAGCTAAAAATAAGCTAGTTTAAGTTGTCAACACTAAAATATCACAGTATCAGCAAGTCAAGCAAGTTGGCATTTAGACCACCCTAAGAAATAGCTCAGTAAGCTTCATGATTAAGACATTAACATTACATGCTTTCATTTACTTCTCTGACTTATCTTACAAGTGAGAAACATCTTAAGTAATTAATGAAGCTTTTATACCAACCCTGTGGGTAGAACAGAGAAGTGTTACAAGCAAAAAACCAAAATGATATTTTATTGATGTTTAACATAGCAATACAAATAATACATTTAGGATACAGCATCATAAAATAAACTGAATGGCTGAAGACAAACAAAAACACCCTGATATTTACTGTGACTTCAAAACTGGAGGGATAAAAATTAAAAAGAAAAAAGTAAATTATAAAAGGGATTAATCTGAATAAAAGTATTAAATAAAACTTTAACTGGAGTTTAAAAGGAAACCAAAGGCTATTATTAATAGAGAAGAGGCACAAAAAATTTTTAAGATACATACGGAAAATAAATTAATTTGAAATGAATGTTTATAGGATGTTGAAAAATAATTAATGTTGAAAGCATCTTCCTTTTTGAAAAAATTTAAACTGAGACCAATTTACTTACCCAAGCTCTGTCATGCCATCTACAAATTCCTTTTTGCTAAATTCACATTGCGTCGCTGCCCTGAACTTCCACGCTATAACCAAAACGCTGACACTGGCAGGATCTAGGTTTAAGTCATCACAAAACTGTTGAATCCCGTCAATTCCAATTTTATTTTCATCTTGTGGGTCTACAGTTAAAATCAAGAGAGAAAGAAATTTTGCTATTTTGAAAAGTACCACTAAAATGGGTGGTTAGAATCACAGCCCTAGAAAGCATGTTTCAGATATATCAATCAATGAATGGACCACAATTTTCTACTGTATATGAAACAGCAGCATATAATAATTTATCCAGAAAAAAAGCCCTATTTTAAAAATCTAGGTTACTGGAGTTTAGGGGAAGAAAAAAAGAATACCACAACTTCTTTGAGAAGACCTAATCATTAAGAAAAAATTTAATTTCCATAAAGTAAAATAAAAATTCAACTTTACACAATTCTAGTTTGCCCAAAGGCAACCCTAACCCTAACCCTAACTGCATTGTAGGGCGCCTGGCTGGCTCAGTCGGGGCAGGGGGAGTGTGCAACTCTTGATCTCAGGGTCATGAGTTTGAGCCCCAAGTTGGGTACGGAGATTACTTAAAAATTTTTAAAAATCTGTAATTTTTAAAAATTTTAAAATTTTAAAAATACTTAAAAAATACTGCATGTAAAGTGTTTACAATATTGTAAGTTTTTATCACAACCCTGCCAAAACAATAGAGAAACTGATGTTTTTCTTTTCAAAGTGATTTCATTTGCTATAATTTTAATGCTACCGTACAACATTTAGGTCTCAAAATCATTTAGTTCATGAATCCACGTTTAATGGCTTAGAAATTCAGGCCTCCCTCACTCCCCATTTCTGATTTAGAAATGAAATTAAGGAACTTAGCATTTATCAGAAAATCAAAAAGTAAAATCTATTAGAAACATCTCAGCAAGACCTCACCAAACTAGGTCTAGTAATTTCCAATAGAATGTGCGTGTACTAATATATCATCATGACGTATGTGTTAATTCTGTTGGTTTAGAAGGTACGAATAGAAAATTTGTAGCTTCTTTGCTCAAATAAAGATTAAGTGTCACAAACTTTTCTTCCATCACATAAAATCTAACTTTGGTCACTTAAGTATATGCTACATTTTTATAGGCATGTCGTTACCAAAATGAAATAAAATAAAAAGTATGCCGTCAATTAAACAAATGAAAGCACATGCTTCCTCCCAACCTGCTGTCCTATATAATGAGCAAGGAGTTGTCCAACTGGGCTTCTGCTTCTCACCCGCCTATTATTCAATGCTCCCAGAGTTAGAGATCTTCAGGAGAGCAAAACTGCCCTCAAGGCCCTCACCTCATAAATTTCACAAGCGATAATACTGACTATTTTAAAGTATGGAAGTACTCATTCATTTGCATACATTAACATAATAACCAACGTTATATTCGTTAACAGTCTTTGAACAATATACTTATTTCTAGACCCAAGATGATTGCACAATGTGTCTACTTTAAATGACAAGAATTGCATGAATAAAATTAAATGATAAAAGGATACTGTTTAAACTAAAGTAATAACTCTCACAAAGTATATTTTTAAAGGCGCTAGACATATTTGAATCACTTCAGAAATCTGCATAGCATGTGACTCACAAACAGCTCCACAATTAACTTAGACAAAAAAAATTAAAGCACATTAAAGCTTATTAAAAACAATGATTTTTCATTTTGAAAACCAATGTTCATTTTCAAATACAAATCTGGTCTTTCTACCACAGAGTATGTTTCTGTGCCAAAGATAAAAAAAAAAAGAATGTAATTTTTAATCTATTTTTCAGATCTAAATAGATTAAAATATACACTTGATATTTTCAAAAGTAAAAAATGAAAGTAAACAAGAATTTAAAGCCCAGGAGTTATTCTGTTTGGGGTAATACTTGTTTAAATGAGGTTTTTGAAGGTTAACCTTAGAAAGTGCTAGAAAGAAAAAATAAACTTTGAAGACTTGTTGCCTCTCCAATTCCAGCATGGATTGGACATGTGATGTGAAATCGGACAGTCTGCTGAGGGATTTGATCGGTACAGATTCGTCAGAGAGACTTCTTCCTGCAGCACGACCATATTTTGATGGGGAAAGCTCCATTCTAAGTGCTGATTTTAATAAAACAACAATGTCCCCAATTTATAGCACAAACGTTTCTTTGCTAAGAGCCCCCCCCCCCCCCCGCGGGCCAGCTTCCTCAACCGCCCGGTGGCTCCAGGCCCACCACGTGGCTACACTGTGTTAGCAGAAAGATGACTTCCACCCTCAGGTCAGAGTTACTTCTTCAACTGCCTTCTCGCCAGGAATCCTCCAGTTTACACACCAGTGTGGGGGGAAATCAGCGTGTGGCCCGGACAGCACCCCCTACAGCAGGAGACGATGCTGCAGCTGGGCGCGTGTGCCGCAGACCCTGCCCCGGCGGGCTCACCACCAATGCGTCTGCAGACCCCTCTCCTGTCACCCCAGCCCAGGTTCCCTGCAGACGGACTGGACGCTGCAGCGGAGTCCCAGAAAGAGGGGAAATAGCCTTCTGGAGGTCTTGTGAACTCGGCCTGAGAAGTTGAGGAGCCAGAATACTCCCGCTCCCCGGAGACGGAAGCAAGCTGCCTGCCGTCTGCCCCCGCCGCGGCCTCCTACCTCTGTACCTGTCGTACAGCTGCTCCAGCTTCTTCCTGTCCACTGCGCTCCTCATGGGCTCCTTGAGGAAAGAGTCTGGGTTTGGTAAGAAGCTGTCTGCAGCCACATCTAGTTTCCACTCATCCTGCGTCACGCAGCACACGGCACTCCTTTGGCCACAGTGAGGAAATGCCATAAACTGGAGGCCGTGTTCTTCCGAGGTGACCTACGTGTACGTGTGGGGCACAGAAGCAGCAGGAAAGCCAACACCACTGGTCCAGAGCTTTGTTTCAGCGTCCCATGACTACTGCTGCTATTCTAACTGGACTTCGCTGTTTCTCACTGGGTCAGCTTCACTGCAGAACCCCGGGACAACATGCCTCGTTCTTCATTACTCGAGAAGACTGCACGGTCTTCTGAAAACTGAAATGACAGCAATTTAATAACAAATACGCAAAGTGTAATCTTCAAACAATTATGAGAATCGGTATTTTATACAAAATACATTTTGATCTCTACCCACTTCAATTTGCATAAAACACATTATTTTTTCCCTAAGTCTCAGGAAAATCCCTCTTCTAAAAGCAGCAAGGCTGGGTGTTAGACCCAAGGCACGACCGTATCGCCACAGCCCATCTGCAGGGTCCTCTTTAGCTTCAGTTAATTTCAGGCTCTAATGAATAGAAGGGCTTCACAGTTTGTAAACATCAATGTTTTAAGTTTTTCCCTGTTTAAAATCAGCAGAGCCACACTGATGAAAACATATACAGGTAATTAAGAATAGTGTTAAACACCACTTACAAAAGTTCCAAAGCAGCCACAAAAAGCCTGTTATGACTAAATGTAATAATATAAATAACAGAAATATCTTTGTATATGAGACAGAAATAAAATGGAAAAATAGGGCAGAGGCTGTGGGAGGTAGTAAATAACAAAACTGCCAAGTAACTGTACTATATATAGTATGTAAGGAAACAAAATAGCGTCCCAGTACTTCCAGATATGGAATGGTTAGGTTTGGACTTATCTAAGGTAACCTGATGAAAAGGACATCAGAAACGAAAGTAACTCACTGGCCTCTGTAAATCAACAGACTCTAACCTACTAGATGCTAATGCTCTAAAACGTTTCACAAAGTAATATAAGAGGAAAAGTTCCACTTGAAAGGATTTATAGTCAATCTCGTTCAAAAAAAGGATGTGACAGTTTATAAAACCACACACAGTACATTATAGCTCACAGAAATACGTAAATGGAATACACATGCCTCTGGAGAGACTGAGGAGGGAAAAAGCAGGAAAGTCAGGGGTGCGACTCAGACACACACACCACACCCAAGAGCTGAACGCAGGCTACAAATTCGGCTCTGAGCTTCCCAGTTGCCAAACCAAAGATGAAAACAGGATTGGTCAGGAAAATCTGTTTTCGTAAGATTTAAAAACCTACCAGTGGCTCAGAGGTGGCCCAGCTCCTCCTGGCACTGAAACCCAAAGGAGTGGCCCCTGTGGTCACTCATGAAAGGGCGACTGCCCCATGCCCTTCCTGCCCTTCGAAGCAGACCAGCCCCTCCCCCAATGCCGACCCTGAACAGCAGAGCAAGCTCCCAAAGCTGCTTCTCACAGCATCCCTTACTTCATGCTGATGCGGAAATATCAGAGTGCAATTCACCAGGAGAATAACATAATGCAGTCCAAATACACCGCTCCCCAGGTACGGTCTGGGCATCCCAGGGCCCTGAGACCTCTCAGGGGTTCCACCAAGACAAAACTACCTTCACAACAATCCCAAGCCATTATCTGCCTTTCTCATGCTCACTGGAATGCAGCGGAGGCCACCCCGTGACTTGTGATCCTTGCAAAAATGCAACATAAATATGCAATCAGCTGATCATTGTTATTTTTAAATATACAAATGTTTTTAAACTTTTCATTGTAACTTCTAATACAGTAAATCCCGATGGCTACAACTCAAATAAACAAAAGCTCTTTGGGGCTCCAGCAATTTTTTAAAGTGCCTAGAGGACAGGGTTCTAGCAAGTCTCAGAACTGCTGATGAAGCATAACAGAGGGCACTGACCTTTTGGCAACTTAGAACAAGGACTGTTCATCATTTGGGGTCTTGGGTCCCTTCTGGAAACTGGTGAAAATCACAGATCCTCTCTCCAGCAAAACATGTGGTTTTGCATAAAATGTGGGTGTTTTCATAGATCACTGAAGCCTACCTATTGGTTCCTCAGAGGCAAAGGGAAGGTGAAACTTAGGTTATAAGGCCCAGTAAGGTAGATGAGGGGCCACTGGTCTCTGTTGCAGCTACTCAGTTCTGCAATGTGTACATGACGGATATGCTGTACACCAATAAAACTTTATTTACACACATGGGCAATGAGCCTGTGGGCTGCAGTTTCTAATCCTAATCTAGACTCTAGAGGAATATATAGAATATATATTCTGTATGCTATTTCCTGAAATTGAGCCACTGAAAAGAACTAGACAAAGAGCTCCAGGTTGTATTTTCTGGTAAGATCGAATTTAGCTAAATAAGGACAGGTCCCATATGCTTTGACAGTGAGCTGACAAAAGGGAAAGCAGCATCTTTCATGAAGGTGATCACCTCCCCGAGGGAGGGTGGGTAAAGCCAAGGACTCCCTCAGTAACTAAAGTGGAGAGAGATGTTCGATACCTACCCAGCACATCACTAGCAATCAATGCTCCTAACATCTGTATTATGCAAATCGTCATCGGTGCTAGATTTTAAAATTCTGTCATGGTTGTAAAATAAAATTTGGTGCACATAAACAATGAAATTCAGCCATAAAAAGGAACAAAGTACTGAAAAATGCTACGATGTGGATGAAGCTTGAAAACTTTATACCAAGTGAAAGAAGTCAGACACGAAAAGCCAGATGTCATATGATTCCATTTATATGAAATACCCAGATAGGCAAATCCATAGACAGAAAGCAGCCTAGTGGCTGCCCGGGGCCTTGAGGGGGGGGGTGGTATGGGGAGTGACTGCTCAATGGGCATGGGGTTTTCCTTGAGGATCATGAAGGGGTTTGGAACTCGCCAGTGGTGATAATACAACATTGTGGATGTCCTCAACACCACTGAATTATACACTTTAAAATACCCAATTTTATGTAATATGGATTCTACTTCAAAAAAAATTCAACATAGCATTCTTAAAACCTCCAAGATTAATTAACAGAGTAGTATACTGTTGGATAACTGAAGTATTTCACCAGGATCACACAGCTGATGGATCCACACCAAGTAAATGTTGGCAGATACCTGGAAGATCTGATGTCTGGTCTTGAGGTACTTTTCCTGATAATCACCTCTTGAAGCTTCTCCTAATACATGACAAAATAGTTATATCAACAGTATAAAGAAGAATACTCTGAAAACTCTAGAAAAAGAGATACAGGAGTGTATGGACCAAGCCAGGCAAAGTGGCTTGAAATGTTGCTATGTAAGTTACCAAGTGGCGGACGTGAGAGATCACAAGTCCGCCCCTCCTCCATTTATCCCAAGTGCCGAGGGCCACGGGTGCTGGCTCTGGGTGTGTAGGAGCAGCCATGGGTCTAAGCTTAGCCCATAAAAGTCTGTGGCCAGAATGAATAGGAAAGGGATTCTCAATCAACATGCAACAATGTGATGTTACACCTTACAGGTTTCTCCAGAAAGTAGCTGTGACTGAAACAATGCTCAGTGGCTAAGTATAAAGACTATGTGTGCTTCACGTCCAAAAGGAACTAGGAGACTCAAGTTGCAATCTGTAGAAAAAGGAACTGGCATATAGCTTTCTACAAGGAAATGTCTCATAAACTAAAAAATTACAGGGGATAGAAGCAAGCTCTGGATCCACTTAGACGGGCTGAATCCATGTAAAATTAATGAAGGCCCATATTTGGCAGGACCAGGGCCTACCCTTCAAGCTCATGGCCCTCACTAAGGCTTACTGCATCAAGGAAATTAACAGCAGCTTTTTTGGGGGGGGGGATGGGGAGTGTTCAATTGTTTTATTTTGTTTAAATATACACAATTTTTGAAATAAAAATATGGACAATCCAGTAGAAAATCAAATAAAATCTCTATAGAAAAAGTCTAAAACATTTCAACTGTGACTTTGAAAAAAATCACCTATATAATCTGGGCACCAAGATTGCCCACATACAAAATGAAAAAAAAAAAGTAATTTTTTAAAAAGATTTTTATTTATTTGACAGAAAGAACAAGCACACAAGCAGGGGGAGTGGCAGGCAGAGGGTGAAGCAGGCTCCTCGCTGAGCAGGGAGCCTGACACGGGAATCAATCCCAGGACCCTGAGATCATGACCTGAGCTGAAGGCAGACCCTTTACTGACTGAGCCCCCCAGGCGCCCCCAGAAACAGTTACTGTTGCAGTGCCCGTCCACAGACACTTAATATGACAAAATCTTTGGTTAGGGGCACCCGGGACAACCATACCGATCAAATTAACGACATAAACTTTGTCACTCCAATTTTCTGCTTTGGTGTACAGCAGGCTGGGGTGGAGTTAAATCCAAGTGTCCCCTTACACACTCCTGGATCTTCAACCCGTGCAGCGATGGCTCCGCACGCTTTCACAAGTTGGCCGCCAGCCCACGGAGCCCCGCCCCCTGAAGCCCGCCCTGCTGGGGAGGGCTCCTCCTGCCTGGGCAGTGCAGCCGCTCTGAGGCCCCTGCTCCCTCCGGGTTTCTAAGCCAACTCGCCCTGGTCTTCTTGTTTCTTTGACCAGCCCTCCTCCGCCTCCTTCTCTGCTCCTCCTTCCCTAACTCTCAAGCCTCCACTCTTTCCCCTACACATTCCTCCCGGACCATCTCCCTCCTGTTTGAAACCCTCCCACCAGCCCCCCACAAGCATGAGGACAAACACGGAACCTTCTCTTCCTGTGCCCTAGAAGACTGCACACCTGATTCCTGTCCCCTGCCCGGTCTCCTGCGCATCACCTTTCTCTGGCTCTCTGCACTCCAGCTCGGTGGATCTTCCGGGTCCTGGAAACTGTCATCTCCAACCACCTATTTTGTTGCTTCTGCCTGGAGTGCTGCAACCAACTGGCCGCCCCTCCCACATCTCTCATTCTGCAGAACACAGCCCACACTGCATTACACTCTGTATTCCTCTGGTGAATATTCCTCTGGTGAAGGTTCTGTTGCCTCAGCCCGGGGCACAATCACCCAGCCCATCCCACAGATTCCTAGAACCTGTGCCTCTCCCGAGCCCTTACCCCAACCATAATAAAATAGGTGTGCATTAGTGCCTGTCTCGTCTGCCAGGGAAGAGGCTCCATGAACGCCTGACCCACATCTGTCTTGCTCAGGGTCCAACCCCCGCACCTAGTCCCCTACCTTCCTTGCACAGAGAAACCTTTAAATTTACTGAACAAATGGTGACCCCCCCACGACCACAGTTTGCACTACATTTCAAACAGGTGTTTATTTCCAGAAGCCCCTCTTCTGGGCGGTCCCTCTATGTCTCCCCCTCGGCGTGACCGTATTATCTTCCACATAAGCCTGCTCTTCCTTCTAGACTTCCTATTCTGGCCAGTAATGTCACCAGCGGCTCAGGCGCCCAAGCCGGGAGCCGGTAAGCGGGGTCTTCGTAGTCCAGGGAAGATCCTCTCCCTCCCTCCAGTTCTCCTTTTTGTTCCTACAGAGCGTCACCTCCTGCGGCCTGGATTATCACAACAGCTTCTCACCGGTCTTCCCCGCAACCCTGAGCCCTCCGGCCCAACTCCTATTCCCCCGACAAAACACAAACAGGACCACAGCCCACGCCGCTTCCGAAAACCTCCTGCGCCGCCAGGGTCTCGCGCACAAACTCCACCCTTGCGCACGGAACACAGGCCCTGCCTGCCGCGCCACCTTCCTGACTCCCCAGGCCACCTGCCGGCCGCTCTGCGTTAGCGGTAATGCTCCAAAGCGCTACTTTCCCCGCTTCTTCTCCGGACCAGGGGCCTTCCTCCTCGTCCCCCCGGCTGCCCGCGTGTCCGCTCCAGCCCCGTTCAGAGTCGCCGCCTCCTCGTCAGACACCCGCAGGCTCCCACCTGCGCGCCTGCCCGCGGAGCCCTCCGGGCCCGAGGCCGGCCGGCCCGCCCGCCACTCCCGCGACCTTCGCGCCCCGCGCTCGCCGGGCTCCCCAGCCTCCGCCCCAGTCCCGCCCCCGAGGCGCGACCCCGGGGCTCCCTCGGCCCGCGGCGCGCAGGAGGGACCCGGTGGGAGGAGACGCCACGGATCACCTACCATTCTCCGCGGCGCACCCCAGCTTCCCGCCGGCTCCGGCCGTCTGCGCAGGCGCCCCGGCCCGGCGCGCGGTCCTCTTCCTCCGCGTCGGCGCCCGGGACGCCCGCCCGGGAAGGAGCGCGGGGGACCGCGACAGGGCCACACCCGCGGAACTCCAACTCCCGGCGTGCACCGGGCCGCCCGGGGACGGGAGGCGCCCAGGCCTCGCCCCCCAGCTCCCAGCGTGCGCAGCGTGGCCCGGGGCCTCACGGGACCCCCGCCTCCCGCGCTCCCTCCGGGCTCCGACGTGCACAGCGCCGCCCAAGAACAATGAGACTCGCGGGCGTCGCTCCCTACTCCGACCCGACGTGCCCTGCGCCGCCCGACGGGACCCAAGCCCGCCCTCTCC